TATCGGCCGTAGCAATGTATTAATGATTATGCATATTGATGACCGAATTAAACACACCAATGTATTCTCAGAATTCCATCAAATTTGATCAAGTTATAATAAGCTAAGTCTTAGTTTCTAACATTTAATACTATGTTCTTAGTATCTAGGAGTCAAGTAAGGCATAAGGCAAGAAGGTCACGTGATTCTACAAGACATAATTTACCCCCGAGCATAGTTAATCCTGGCACATGCATATATGCTCGTCACCTCATATATGTATCATCCTCGCATGTAGCAAACAATGTCAAATAGTAGGAAAAATTTCCTCAACAAAGTTAGGCAAGACACTTACCTCAATTAGGCTAACTCAATACTCAATTTAGATTTTTCCTTTACAAATTCACCTCCGCTCGGCTCAATCTAGCCAAAGACGACTTAAATACATTACACAATGCAAGGGAAAATAATTTTAATTAATAAAGCTGTTATTTTTATACAATTTCTAAAACGTCAACAAAAGTCAACCCCCGGGCCCGCCCTGTCAAAATCTGGGTCCAAGGGTAGGTATTGACTATCCATAGCCTCACGAGTCTAAATATGTATTTTGTTTCCAAATCCGAGTCCTATTCGACTCTTAAATCCCAAATTTTCATTTTTCAAAGTTTTGACAAAATCCACAAATTTTTCCCTAGATTCTTATGAATTTGATGTTAAATCTTATGTAAAATCATGAAATGAAGTTGATAATTAATTAGAGTCACTTACCCAATGATTTGGTATGAGAATCCCTTCACAAAATCGCCTCCCATCGAAGCTAGGGTTCAAAATATAACAAAATGAAGCTAAGTCTCGGAATTCTCAGCTATATGCATGCTGAAGATGTCGCATTTGCGACATGGGTTTCGCAAATGTGAACATCACAAATGCGAACAACTAATCGCAAAATCAAAGTTTTGAAATTCTCTGTTGCCTTCGCAAATGCGACCAAAAAGGTCGCAAATGTGAACATTGGTCCTTCGCAAAAGCGAACTAACCCCGCCTAGGCCTTTATCGCAAATACGATACTGAGTCCGCAAATGCGAACTCAACAGGCTTCACAAAAGCGGAGAATTCTTCGCAAATGCGAGTCCTTTCCCCAGTAGCCCAGCTTCGCAAATGCGAGGTTGCTTTGCAATTGCGATAGTCGCATTTTGCGACAAAAATATCGCAAGTGCTATGACACCAGTACCAACACTCAAAATCATGAAAAAATTATTCCGGATCCAATCTGAAACTCACCCGAGTCCTCGGGGCTCTAAATCAAATATGCACACAAGTATAAAAATATTATACGAACTTGCTCGCGCGACCAAATCGCCAAGATAACACCTAAAACTACGAATTAAGCACCAAATCAAAAGAAATTTTCAAGAAAACTTTAAAACTTCTATTTCAACAATCGGACGTCCGAATCATGTCAAACCAACTCCGTTTCTCACTAAATTTGACAGACAAGTCATAAATATAGAAATGAGCTTATACCCGATTTTGAAACCTAAATACGGACCCGGTATCAATAATTTCAAACATCGATCAAACCATTAGATTCATTAAGCCTTTAAACTTTTAAATTTTAACAAAATTCGATAACTCGAGCTAGGGACTTCCGAATTCGATTCCGGGCATACGCCCAAGTCCCAAATCATGATACGGACCATCAAAATATAGATCTGAGTCAGTTTGCTCAAAACGTTGATCAAAGTCAACTCAAATGGGTTTTAAGGCAAAGATTTCATATTTGTTTAGTGTTTAACATAAAAGCTTTTAGAAAAAATACCCGGACTATGTACGCAAATCGAGAAGAGATAAGATGAGGTATTTGAGACTTCAAAATACAGAATTAGGCTCTAAAACATAAGATGACCTATCGGTTCATCACATAATACATCATGCGGGGATACTCGTGCCCTCAAACTACCGAGAAAAGTGCAAGTGCTCAAAACGACCAGTCGGGTCATTACAGTGCTTCACCACCTCTATCTTCTTTGGGTCAGTAGCAAATCCTTGTGCAGAAATAAAGTGGCCTAGATATTTCACACTTGGCACACCAAAAACACATTTAGAATTCTTGGCCAATAAAATGTTCTGCACCATAATGTCAAAAACCTACTGCAAATAAAGAAGATGATCTTGCAAATTCAGACTGTAGATTAGAATATCATCAAAGAAAACAAGCATAAATTTTCTGAGAAGCTTCTGAAAGACATGGTTCATTAAGCACTGGAAAATGGAAGGAGCATTGGTCAAGCCAAAAGGCATGACCAAATACTCATAGTGTCCTATGTGAGTTTTGAATGCTGTCTTAGGGACATCTTCAGGAACCATCTTGATCTGGTGATAACTAGATCTGAGATCAATCTTAGAAGGATAGAAGCCCCTAATAACTCATCCACCCAGTCATCAATAATAGGAATAGGGAATTTATCTTTAATAGTACACTCGTTTAGGTCCCTGTAGTCCACACATAATCCCAAGTTCCATCTTTCTTACCTACCACCACCACAGGTGAAGAGAATGGGTTGTTTCGGTATTGGATGACCCCTTCCTGTAGCATCTCCTTTACCAACTTCTCAATGATATCCTTTGTCATAGAAGAATATCTATAAGGCCTGATGTTGATTGGTTTGGTACTAGGCTGCAATGGGATCCTGTGGTCAAATGCACCCCTTTGGGGAGGTAGTGCAGTAGGCTCTGAGAACACCTACTTATAGGTTGTTAATAAGTCTCTGAGTGACTGTGGCATTGGCTTATCTTTAGGTAAGTGTAGGAAAAGAAAAAGCCCATCACCTCCACAAGTAGGTAATGGAGCTTCAAGCACCACCTGTGGCATATACAACTAAGCATTATCACCTTGATACTTATTGACAGCCTTAGAACTAGAAAGCTTACAATATTCTGAAACTCCCTTCAAGAAATGTGTTTTGCCTTGGTAGTTAAAGGTCATAGTTAAGGCTGAATAGTCTATTGTGACTGGACCTAAGGTCTTCATCTACAAGGCTCCTAAAACCAAATCATATTTACCAACAAGAAAGATTATATGGTCTGATACATATGTATTACCCTCCAATATCCACTTAAAATTCTTTACCACTCCAGAAGTGGCTTCAAGATTGTTGTTGCCCAAGCTCACATAACTTAGCACAGTAGGAATAACATAACAACCTAGCTTCTTTGCAGCTGCTGAATCTATAAATTTATGGGTGCTACCACCATCTAAGAGAATCTGAATGGATTTTTTATCACTATAGCCTGTAACATGAATGGTTTGTGCTCCTTGGATACCAGCTAATGCACATAGTGAAATGTGAGGATGTCCTTCTTTAGCAACAGTCCACTCCTCATGAGGTTTCTCAACTTCAGAAGTATTGTCTCCTTCTTCTGTAGGTAAGGTATCATGTCTTTCAAGCTCTAAGACAAACAATTATTTGGGAAGGTTGCATTTGTGGCCTGCAGTATATTTTTCATCACAAAAATAACATAATCTCTGGGCCCTTTTTGCCTGCATCTCAGCTGGGGAAATAGTCCTCCTATGCCTAGGTACCACAACAGTGTTAGGAGCAGGTAATGTCAGTCGAGGTGTATGACTAACTGCTGGATAGGAAGGAGGTTTAGGGACTTGATTATCATAAGGAATCCTCCTAGCATCAGAGTAACCAACTGAAGTATATTTATGAGCTCTGGCATTAGCAGCTAAAGCGGCCTCAACTAGCCTAGCTAGCCTGCAGGTTTTAGCTAAAGTGTTAGGCTCATGCATCATTATATGATTCACCAGTTCCTCTTTCAAACCACCAAGGAAGCAAGAGATAGCTTGCTCAACAGTTAAGTTACATTGAGCTACCAGTCTATCAAAAGCAAATTGAAATTCCCTAACATATCCTGTTTGTTTCAACTGTTTCAACTCTAGCATATGATCAGAGAAATCACCAGTAATTACTTCGTTTAGTTCAGTAATATACTCATCCCAAGAGGGTAACACAGGTACATTCTGACATTTGAGATAGGCTTGATGCCAAGCTAAGGCCTAATCATCGAGGTTCATAGCTACTAGTCTCACTCTCTGATTGAGCGGAGTGTCATCTTCTGCAAAATATTGCTCAATCCTATATAACCAGGTTTTCAAATTTTTTCCATTGAAAGGAGGGAAAATTAGATTATGACCTCAATTTGTGTTACCACAATAAGGATTAGGACCTAAGATACCTTGCCCTGATTGTAATACCTTATCCCTAGCAGTCGAAGTAGAAGCATTGTCCTTTGATTGCTGGCTCAATTTCAAACTATCAAAGGAATATTTTAGAGAACTTACCATATGGAGCAGCTCAACATGGCGTTTATCCAAGTCATCCCAGAGTTCCTATCGTGTTTGAGCCATTTCTGCCCTTAGATCTAGCTGTTGAGCTGCTAGATCTTCATATTGCTCCTGCAAATCCATGGGTTGATTGCTAGTTACTACATCGACAGTTATACGTGGTCCCATCGTCTATCGAGATCTGATACCAATTGATACCTAATTGAGGTATCACTTCATTAGAAGAGTGAACTAGTAACAGAAATGAGACAAGAACAGAAGAGTTGGTCGAGGAGGAAGCAGAATATAGAGAGAAGAAGAGGAGAAAGAGAGGAGTCCAATTAATATATCAATCTCGATGCCTTTATATTTTGTGTATCTCCTATTAATAAAATTGTAATGAAGCTAAAATGCTTAAATAAAAAGAAAAGGAAATACAAACATGCTAAGCGTGTGACACAAACAATAACTACTTTTCCCACCAAAACACGTGCAACTAATTTTCGAAAGCTAATGGCTAATATTTGTATCAAAAACTCATCCAAACTGGCGAGTTCACTCACCTGAGTCTCTATGGTCCCCTCCTCTCATCTCTCCTTCTTTCCACGTCACCCCGAACCTTAACGAACCTCTAACACCGAAGATTCTTCAACCTCACTCATGCGTTTTTGATTTCCTTTAGACAATGGGAGCGGTCGGATTAGGGTGAAACCGAATCCACGCTTTCCATTCATAAAAAAATTATCTTTTAAAAGAAAATCTGAAAAACAGGAATTTTGGGATAATTACTTGGAAAGGAAGGAGAGAATCTTCGAGGCTTCTATATATTCTACTATTTTCGGTTTCTACAGGGGACGATTCTGGAGAGCAATGAAAAAAGCTAGGGTTTAAAAAACAATATTCCTCTTTTAGATTTTAGAAAATCGAAAAAAAAATACAAGAAAAATACACCTCTGTTTATTCTATTTGATTTCGGTTTTTTACTTTCAAAAAATGGAGTTTGATTGAATTTGAGGGTGGTTTGAGTCCGTTGCATATTGAAGCTGCCGTTCGATATTGGTTCATGATTCCCGTCCGCAATTCCGGTGCGGGTTAGTTGCTGTCATTCCTTGCCGAGTTTTGAAGCCAAGTTTGTAATTGTTGATTTCGTCTGCTCTTATTAAAGAAATTTTGTTTAAACAGGTTCACTTCTTTACTCCACTACTTATTTTAATTTTTGCGGTTATGAAAAGCTTAAGAAGAGCCGTTTAAGGATGGGTAGGATTTGGGAGTATAAATTGTTTAGGTAAATGATTGATTTCCATAAATTGTTTAGGTAAAAGAAATCAAGTGAAATGTCCTTCTTTCGGTTTGTTCCCTTAACATCAGTTAGTGATGCTTTAGTAGATGTTCTGTCAACAAACGAATTTGGACTTGAAAAATAGTTTTGTTCCTTAAATGGTGATTCCTAGACTTTTCTTTTTGCCTGTTTAAATTGGAGTTCACAACTGATTTTTCATAGTCTTTTTAGAGTTTTCTTAAGTGAAAGAAAGAATGGGAATGGTGGAAATTATTTATTATTTAAAGACTTACGTGCTCCTCTTTGGATTCACTGTTTAATTAAACATCTTGAAGCATGTTTTAACAATTATTTGAGCTAAGGTTATCTTATAAGTTTTTCTTTTTAGCATTAAAATAATGTCCCGATTTGAATGAGTTGAGTGCTCAAATTAAATTCCCAGCATGTTGTTTTCATTTCTCTTTAGTTATTTAGAGTTCTTTCTATTGTGATTGATTAAAGGTTTTCGTTAGCCCTTTTCGAATTCTTTATTAACTCCAATTTGGGGGTGAAATAAAAAAAAGAATTGCTTTCTCATAATATCAGTTTCTTCTAAAGATTAAGCCAAAGTTGTAAGTTAGAGTAAACTTTAAGAACGGATAGAATTTGACCAAGGCATGGGGTGATGTAGGACATCCTTAAACGGCTGTTCGGATAACTTCAGTTTCTTTACTTTACTATTCTTAGCTCTTCTTTGTAATTTTATCTTTCTTTTGTTGGTTTGGATGCTCACTGGGTTGTATGTTCATCTTATCTAGATTTGTTATGACTGTTTGAATGTTGGATATAGCTATGGGCCATGGGATTTGGGACTTAAACAGAATTAAAAAGGAAATGAGCATTGATAAGACTTTTCTTATTTAGTTCTACTTTATTTTTATTTTTACTTTGTCCGCTAGTAGCATGTTGAGGCTGACCACACTTGGGTAGGCAAGCCTAAGACATTTTTGTTTTTTGGAGGCGAGAGGTTGTCCCTTTTAGTTAATTATGTTATCCGGGGAATCCCCGAAAAATCTGTAAAATATTTTACCCAAAGGAATGCCCCACAGTAGTATATAGTTGGAGGCCATGACGAACATAGTGGAAGAAGCATAGTATAGATTAGTTTAGGACCTTTAATATATTTTTTCTTTCTTTTTTCCCCCTTCCTTTGCCTTTATTTAGGTGGGACAACCTCGAACTTCCTTGTGTGTTTATTTTTTATTCTTATTTGTTTTATCTCAATTTGAGTATTCATTAAAGCCAATTGGATCAAGTACTAGTTATAGGACTTGGCGAATGCCTAATACATTCTTCTTGAGTCAAATGAACCCCCTTACTTAGAATTTTTGGTGCAGATTATGTTTTAAAGTCAAAATATATTTTAAAGGTAAATAATTTTTTTTTTTAAAAAACGTTGACTTGATACACCGAAACCAAATGTCAAGTGACGACTCTGAAAATACTTTGAAATACAAATTTTGTCACTTTGAATTGAAAAACTTTTTGAACTTTAAAAAATTAATTTATTATCTTAAATGAGTTAAGGTGAAAAAAAGAGGTGTGACACACTCAAAGGTTGTGAACCATAAAATGTAATCTATGATTTAAAGCTGAAAGAAAATAAAAAGATATTTCCCACGAATATCAAAACGCTTGAATCTAAAATTTATCTTTTGCATAGAAACTGAAACATTTGTTTTTGAAATTTTAATTTATCAAATCTATAAAATAAAAAAAAGGAAAAGGAGGAAACTCCATAAGCATAGATACCCATGCCACAAAAAAAAGAAGAAATAGAGAAGGAAGAAGGAGAAGAAGAAGAAGAAATAGAAGGCGCTGTATATATAATTTTTACATTGTATAACAGACTATACACTTATGACACCCAAACATACTTGTGATACACTTAATATACACTCTGGATACACAAACACGTTAGGAATATAATGCATGTACTGCCAAATTTAGGATACAATGTATATACTCATTTCAAACGATCTTCACTCACAGAACACCATTACGATTCCGAAGAAGACCTAATAAGTATGAAGTCAAAAACAATTAGTATGAAGTCAAAAACAAAGAGAAAGAAATCCATATATGAAATAAGAAATAGAAAAAGAAAGAAGAATGAAGAAAAAAGAGAAATAGCCGAAGAAAGAAAAATGAAAAAGAAGAAAAGGACAGAGAGAAAGAAAGAGGTGAGTAATTACTACGAGTAAGTGGGTTTTGAAAAATAAAAAAATATTCTTGAAATGGGATGGAAAGGAATAAACTTCGGTTGAAAGGCGTGTATAATAAATAAAAAACTTTTTGGTAAGATGGGACGCTACATATAAAAAAACTATATTGTGATACGAGAGATTATAGGGTTACCGTGCGGAAAGTAGGGCTAATAGAATTTTCTGGTAGCCATACAATGTAGATTTCCTTTTCTTTATCGTGTCGAGGAAGACTTAACCCATTCTTAAATTTTCGATGTTGGGCCTTTATTATATTGTCCACGCTCTAAATGTTTAGTCCTGAGTCATCGAAGGGTGTTGGGAGTCCCAAATTGGTGGTAAAAAGGGATGGATAGTTCTTTTATATGGCTTGGGTGATCTTTATGTCATGAACTAATTTTTAGGATTGAATTAGACTCAAGATTCATTTAATTTCTTTATCAGTATCACTACTTAACGCGAATAATGACCCACCAAACAAAATAAACTTGGATGATTAAAAGAAATTATTGCAATTGCATATGAGATGAAGAGAACTAATAGGAGAAATTAAAGAACAAGAGGCATATACAGAAGAAGATCCTTCTAGATCTGCGGCATTTTCAAAGTCGTAATCTTAGAGAAAATTATTTATGATGTATGGTTATCACTTATCAGAAATGGAAAATGACTTCATATCACTTAAGAAGTGGGAATTTAACTTTCTTTTAACTATTATTTTCATATCATTTGCACATATCAATATTTAAACATTATCATCAATTTTAAATTTTTTAAAAATTCATCATAACACTATTCTATATGGTAACAATATATATAGATATTTGTCAAAAAGTAATTTTCAAATTATCAACTTTTAATCACAAAAGAAATGACATTCGTCTCTTTTCCACCCTTCTCCTTTTCTTTGAAGAGGGGGAGGTTAGTAATCTTGGAATTTGCCTGGCATGATTTTTTGGGAGGTGTTTTAACTTTGGAGCTCTACAACAATTTTAGGGATGTCAATTGCGTAGGGCACGACAGGACATGGCAAGACAAGCTGTGACATGCTAAGCTTTTGGCCCTCCTTGTCATGCCTTATGTAGCATTTTTTCAAGTTTTTGCTCAACCTTGCCTTGCCTTGCCCCGACCTATTAAGCGCTGCCCTGTTTAGACCCTCTTTCATTTTGTAATTTTTTTTTTCATTTTGCAAGATTTCATTGAAGTTTTTATAATTTTTGACTTTTTTAATGAAGCTAAAACTCCTTATATATGTCTGCCCTATCTATTTAAAATTTTGTGAAAAAATGTTTTGACCCGCCCTACCTTGTCTTGCCCCGTTTAAATTTTGCTCCGCCCTGCCCCTTTAACGCCCTGGCCTGCCCTACGTTTGCCCTGCCCCATTGCCATCCCTAATCAATTTTAATCCAAAGACATGAATGCAGCTTTGGAATTCAGAGCCTTTAAATTAAAAGAGATGATATCACATTCACGCACAAAATTTAATATACTCGGATGTATTAATAAAACCTTTAATTAATATATTCTGCATTGTGCTTGACACACAGAGAAAAATACATCTCAAATAACTGCATGGCTGGCGCTGTAAACTAAAAAGAACATTATTACTGTGATTTGCTTCTAATAGTTCACCTGGCCATAGTTCTAGCATTGAGAACAATCGTCGCATAATGCATATATGCGACTACTTGGATTTCTAACTGAATACCAAAAAATATGAAATTGACTGTTTGATTTCCCTTTTATTCCATGCAGTGTAGCAAAAAAAATCAGAATTGCGAATCTTGCGGAACACAAGAACCCGAGAGTAACGAGTTCATATCACCACTAGCAGCCGGGATGAGTGCCAAATTAATGGTAGAAGTCACCTCTGAAGTCTCTCCATCAACTGTGGCCTTAGCCACTGCTGCTCGTCAAACAGGAGGTAAATGTTCGAAATGTATGATTATCTCATTTAAAAGTTTAAGCCGTTAGACAAACTATACTTTTATTTACTTAATTTTATTTTCGACAGGTAAAGTTGTCTGCATTATTCAGGAGCAAAAATTGGACAAGCCGCAGAAAGTGATTGAAGAAACAGGGCTAAATGACATGGTAGAATTCAAGACAGGGGACCCTGTTGATGTCTTGCCTAACTACGAGAACATCGATTTCTCTCTCGTCGATTGCAAGACTAAAAACTACGATAAGTTGATAGAAAAACTCGATGTTAATCCCGAAAGATCAGTTGTAGTCACAAATAATGTAGAAGGGAGAAAAGGGGTTATAGGAAAACTGAAAAAAGTGGAGAATGAGGTTAAAATATTTTCAACTAAGCATCCTATGGGTGAAGGTTTAGAGGTTACTATGATAGAAAGTGTTAAGTTTATAATTTTAATAATGATCAATATCCATAAAGAAGTCTTGATTAATGTTATACATGTGTATGCAGATTCTATAAAATGGGAGATTCAAAGTGGTCTACTTTGATTGTAGGAATGAAGGCAAGGACAAGAAGCTCAAAAAGAAAGTCAATCAACACTGATCGATCTCTCAAGTATGCAAAAATAAGAATGAAGGACTAAAGCAATGGAAAACACAATATAGTGGGAGACAACTGGAAGTGCTGTCTAAAACATGAAGCACTCCTTAAATAAATCAATCTACCCCACCAAATAGAGACAAAATGAAGTGGTGCTTGTTGTCTCTTTCTTTGATACAACATAAAGCACTCATTGAATAAATTAATCTACTCCACCAAATGGAGACAAATTGAAGTGGTGCTCATTTCTTAAGTAAAGCGTGGAGCATCTCGGCAAATATGGAGCATCTCGGCATGGAACAAGAGCACTCCTTGGATTAATTAATCTAGCTCATCATTCTTGAAGGAATCAGAGACATTTCTGGAATCAAATATCAGTAACATACTGTCGGCATCAAAAGACCAATATACAACAATACTCGGCTATAAGAATACTGGAAAACTCAAGGATTGATTCACGCAACCTTCTATACAATTGTCTATCCACCTACAAGTTCTTTGTTCTACTCTTAACAAGCATTGAGATTTATATTTAGTAGATTTACTGTGTACATAAAAGAGTGAAGAGAGACTGAAAAATATTGGAGAGGCAGTGTGTCCTTAGAGGTTGGGTCATTATTCGTTTCTTTGGTGAGCGAGTGAAAACCAAAGAGTCGTAGTTGGTGAGCGTATTAAAACCAACCTTGTAAAAATTGGTGGTGAACGTTGAAAATCACACAAGCTGTATACAATCATATCATAAAGAGATCAAGAGATAACATCCTTGCAACCCAAGGAGACTGGAGTAGGATACCACATTGGTTACGAACCAGTATAAAATTCCTGGTGTCATTTACCTTACTGCTTTCATATGTTATTACAAGCAATTACTGTTTGTTAAGATTAGTATTTGATTGAATCAAAGTACTAACAGTATTGTGCAGTCTATCTCTGCATCGGTCGACTAAGAGCATACCATAGTCGACTAGAATTTTTTAACATGCTACAATTCATCCCCCTCCCCTTGTACTTTCAATTGGTATCAGAGCGGGTCTCACATCTTTATTTTTTGCTTAACAACAAGTGATAAAAGATCCATGGAATGTCATCAAATTACTAAAACCATATCTCAAGAGGATACTCAACAAGAAGGCCACCGTAATTCAATAGTCAATACTATAGCCATTGGAAAGAAAGAATGAAGGTTTATGTTCAACCAATAGATTATCTAGCCTGGCTAGTTATTCAGAATAGACCTAGACCTATTCCGAACAACAGTGATGGAAGGAATCTTGAAAAAGGGACATCCATATTTGACTACACAAGAGAGCAGCTGGATATTATGCAAACAAACGCTAGAGCAATCAACATGCTCTATTGTGCGATTAGTGAAGAAGAATATAAGAATATCTCCACTTGTGAGACTGCTAAAGATATATGGGACAGATTGAAAAATATCCATGGAGACATCAACAAAGTTAAGGAAATCGAATCCAAGTCAGTTCTTGAAGAATTTGAAAACGGTGAAGATCGAGAAGACTTGGCAGTGATACCCAGGGCAAGAAAAAAAGAGAGTAGAAAGAAGCAGAATAAAAAATCTCAATCCATCCAGAATCATCACAAGAGCCACAAGAATGAGGTTCAACAAAAAGAGAATGTATGCTTCTACGAATGTGGTAAATCTGGACATATGAAATTAAAGTATCCTAACCTCAAAAAGAAGAATCGTGGAATCTCAACTTGGAGCGGCGAGGATAAATATGAGGAAGAAAATGATCCCGAAAGAATGGAGAACCTATGTTTCATGGCAATGGGAGAAATTGACAATGTATGTCCTACTCCTATTACGTATTGCGATAAATCTGATGAATTGTAGGAAAATATTGAATTGGTTCTCAACGACCTTGAGAAAGTACTTAAAGAATATAATAAGTTGAGGAAAGAGAAAAAGAATTGGGATATTCAACTTGAAGAATATAACAAGTTGATACATGAGAAGAAAGATTGGAAAATTCAACTTGAAGAATATAACAAGTTGAGAAATGAAAAGAAAAACTGGGATATTCAGCTTAAAGAATATCAATTGAAGAACAACTTACTTCAAGAAGAAAATTTTGAGCTTCGCAAACAAAAAAGCAACTTGCACAAATCCCCCAGCCACTACTTTGTTAGATCAAAGTCGTCTCCTTGGCTTAACCGCTTTCAGTCGACTAGAAAGGGGTCTACTGGTAAATATCCTACCTTAAACAAGTTGACTGGGGGAAGTTTCAAGTCAACTAATAAGGCAGCTGCAGGTAAACATTTTTCTTCTCATACTACATGTCATTACTATGATAATTTTGGACATAAAGTATTTGCATGCAATTATGCAAAATATTATGGCACATCAAAATATGTTTGGAGAATTAAACAGATATATGCATCTCTAATTACACCAGCTACTAACCCTCAAGGACCCAAAAAGATTTGGGTATCAAAAACAAATTAATTTATTTTGCAGGAATTCTGAGTCCAGCCATAAAAAGGAATAATGATATTTGCATAACGGCTGGTCCAGGAATATGCTTAAAGATGTTTCAAAGTTTACACATACTCTATAAAGGATGAAGGAACCATTACACGTGCTGGTGAAACTTGAGTGACTGGTATCATTAAAGTTTATCCAAGTTTCGTTTGATGAATTATAAAATGATGCGTATCTAGTTATTTTTTTGTGCAATATAATAAGTATATATTGCTTGAGTCAACTAGCTGCATTATTCTATAATTCTATTTGGTGTTATTTTTATCCTTGACTTAGAGATTTTAAATAGCATGAATGTATGTCTTGCATGAACCATGCCATTTGTATCGACATTAGGATAAACAAGCATACATACATTTTTTATGTCGTCATATGGTTAAAATGTTTTTTAAAAAAGGGAGATTTACTTTTGATATTCATTCTCTTGGAAAGAGTATCAATACTTCTTTCAAATTCAAGAAGGTTGTTTAACTTTAAGGTAAATAACTTATGCACATGTGGAGATACTTGACCATTCCTATGACTCAAAAGTTTAGAAGATACATGTGTATGTTTTTATTGATATTTTTGCCTAGGTTATATTCCTAAATAAGAAAATGATGCATTTGATCATAGATGTGAGTTATAGTATTTGTTCGACATTTTTTTTTCATACATAATTTCTCACATATTTGGTTTGGCGCCTGAATTGAATGCAGAATTGAAAGCATCATTTTTGTATAAATTGCTATCATTGGCTTATATGTGCCTTAATATTTTTTTTTTGGATCTTATCTGAGCTACGGGAAGGAAGAAAAATTAATTTTTAGTTATCTTGCTCCCTTTAGTTGTAACTGTCTTGGTAGGACTCTTGGTATATTGCTTATTCATTACTACTTTCAATTTTATGAAATTTAGAATTTTAATTGTAGAGAAATCTCAACATGCGCGATTTCTTCACACTAATACTTTTCTAAGAAAATTGTGAATAATGATGAAGAACTTTCAGTGGATGGCTAGCAATAAACAAGATAACAACACATCCATGCTAGTGGAACTAGACAGACATGAAGAAGCATTAAGCGATGAATGATGGATTCTACCTATGCAAGATCTGCTGAATAAAGTTGAAAAAAAAAATGTAAAAATCTATTATCAAGCAAATGAGCTGCAATCATGGATATCTAACAAGAAGGTTGATTAGATTGGTCATAGGAACATCTATGAATCCATCGGCTACTTTATATGAAGACAAAAACAGTAAGAATGTTGATAAAATAATGTATCGAGGTATGATTGGCTCACTACTCTATCTTTCAGCTAGTCGATCAGATATTATGTTTAGTGTTTGCAAATGTTCTAGATATCATTCATCTCCTAAAGAGTCTCATTTGACTGTTGTTAAACGTATTATCAGATATTTGATAGGGACAGTCGACTATGGCTTATGATATGAAAGTTTGGAAAATTTCAATCTCAAAGGCTTTTTAGATGCAAATTTTGCGGGATATAAACTTAATAGAAAAAGCACAAGTGGAACGTGCCAATTACTTGAAAAATCCCTTATATCCTGGCACAACAAGAAACAAAGTTGTGTGGCCTTATCCACCACAGAGGCTGAATATTTGGCAGCAGGCAACTGCTGCACACAAGTACTTTGGATCATGCATCAACTGTTAGATTATGATTTTTATGTCTTAATTCTGTTCCTACTATGTGTGACAATACTAGTGCAATTTATTTATCAAAAACTATGTGCATCATTCTAGGGCTAAGCATATTGAGATCAAGCATCATTTTATACCCGATCATGTTGCTAAAGAATATATTGTGCTAGAATTTGTGAATACTGAAAAATAATTAGCGGATATTATTACAAAACCTTTTCTTGAGGAAAGATTTTTTTTCCTTCAGAACAAGATTGGCATTTGTACAATTCCTTCATAACAATGTTTAATGTTTCCTATAATTACTTTTATTTATTTCCATATACATTGTAGCCCAAGGTTTCACAACAAGAAGGTTTGTTCCTTCATGGAGAGTTTTGTTAGAATGTTATTTTTAATGTACACATTACAAGTTTGTAAATTATCTCTGTATGGATGTTGAAATATTTTTTTAATGTGTTGAAAATAGTATAACCTTGCTCTCTCGTCTTTCTCTGGAGTTAAACATTTTTGGACCACATTTTTGTGACCAAGACTCGTTATCATTTAAAAGAATTTCATCATTATCATTTGACAATTATTTTTCTCTCCAACTATGCATTTAAGAGCATATTTATCTAATACTAACTAAAAGCATGACAAGCTTTAAGCCTCTGAAAGATGATCGGTTTGGAAATGAGCATGATGGAAAATTAACCTTTATCCTCACATTCCAAATAATGTGAAGCAAAGAGAAAATTAGTAAGTCCACCGATCGAATATAGAATCAAGGTATGACTGACTCTCTATTGCATTTTTATAACAGATATTTTGGTATACCTGATCCTATAGAATATCGGTATAGTGCCACAAAAGATTTTTGGTTGACTTCTAAATTATGTCTTATTGTATGCAAGAACTAATTGAGTTGATCTAGTAGGATATTCTTCGATATAAACCTTGCATGCAACAAAGTGGACAGAAAGACAAATATTGGATTGGAGATCTTTAATATTCTCATGCCATGAAAAAGATAAGTGTAAGGTTCAACTGGCTCATCTAGCCAAGAGTGAATATTTCTCCATGTGAAGCTATTGTAAGCGTGCAGATATTTTCTCACGTTAAGAAAAGAAAAATTGACCTGAATGTCAGATGAATCACTCGTTACTAATGAATTATTATGTGCTTAAAAATGGTTCTAAGACTAGATAAGCAAGATTATATGATTTCTTGTTGAGTGGTGAATCCTTTAGAATATGATTCTCTTATTCATGTGTGAAGGGTAGTTGATTAAAGGAAATAGTCAAATAGTCATTTCATGAAGATCTATTCTACACTAGTAAAAAGAAATTGACTGTCGTGTAATATGAACACATAACCATTTCTTGACTCCTATATGCATTAATACGTTGTAGTCTTTCTAAGGGTCTTAAGCTTTTGTTCAAAATTTTGAGAGTTTAACATTTGAGGTTATCAAAAGGTTCTTAATCTTTTTAATCATCTAGTGATTTTCAAGTAACTCTGTGCGATTACACCTTCTTATATGCTAAATGATGTTTTGGAAAAATCAAGTGTCCCGTGAGTTTCTTTTGCTACACTTCATTCAAATGATTATACTACGCTTTCGACTAAATGAATACTTACTTACATAATTTCTGCAAGATGTTTCCACCCTTTTGATGATGACAAAAGAGGGAGAAAGATATATTGGTATAAAACTTTACTTGCAAAGTTTATAGACAATGTGTATGAAGGCAGGGGGAGCATGACTATGGTATCCTTAGAATAAGGGGGAGCCTTTACCAGCCATGCAAGAATAAGCTCGATATAAACGGAACATTTCAGGGAAGTAACTAGTCTATCTAGCCTATTACTTTAGATGCACTTCAATTAAGTCTTTAATACAATCTTTTATACTTTGTACTCAATGGATTGCCAACTTGTCTCCCTATTTGATATTGTTGGTAACACTGTCTATGAAGAGCATGTGCGCATGTTTTATGCAAATTTTTTGTGAATGATAAATACAATTTAGAAACCATGATCTTAGGAACCCGCTTCATCCTTGATTCTTATCAGTTTATAAACAAAAAGTCTTTGCTACAAAGTTTATAGGATGCAATTTATTTGTGCAACCATCCTGGCCAGAAAATTTTGAAGTATCTTTTGATGAGGCCAAAAATTATTCTGTTTAAAACCCCCCTGATATAGGTCCTAAGAACTTGAAGTTTGAATATCATGTTCTAGCCCATATTATTGCCACCACTTTGTTACCCCGTACTGGTTCTCTAAGTACTTTGCCTCTCATAGATGTATCTGTTCTGTATTGTTTGGTAAATGGTAAAGCTATAAACTGGTTTGCCTGGGTACGTCAATACGTGCTTAATAGTATCAGGGACCTCTTCTACGAGCAACATGCCTTATAGTGTATTAGTTTCTCACATCCTGAATGTCATGAAAGTAGACCTATCTCTCTATGTTTCAAAGATTATCTCCAGCACCTATGTCAAGACTGCCTTTGCCATGATGGAGTATACCTTAATTGAGGAAAATTGGCTTAAATAGGACAAAGCATCAAAAGTCATCCCTACTCAGAGCCGTGTGGGACTTAAATCTAAAGCCAACAAATCCTCTTCTTTAGACAAGCTGATACTGATACAACACATCATTGCTGGTATCAAAGAATTACTAACCTCACCAAGGACATTGATGCCTCTTATGAAAGCTTCTGCACTAAAAGTGATCAACACCCTGAAATATTTCCTTGGAAGGAAATGAATGTGTAGGATGCTTAAGACAATACTTTTTGCTTTGTGTGACAGTTTAATACTATTTCTTTTGGTTGTGTCTGGGGTGAGCATTAGTCGGCTATAACTGCTTAGCTGTGCAAATTTTATGGTTGCTTAGTTAGTATTATTATTATTTTTTTGATTGATGTCAAAGGGGGAGAAGAAAGAAAAAGAGTTGCAGGTAAGCTACAGGTTCTCAAGTGCAGATTCAAATCAACAACCAGCTTAAAGACATAGAGAGCACACTTGAAAAGAAAAGGGAAGTATCCATAAATTAGTCAAACTCTTTTTAGATTATTGTCATCATCAAAAAGGGGGAGATTGTTAAGTTTAGAATTTTAATAATGATCAATATCCATAAAGAAATCTTGACTAATGTTATACATGTGTATGCAGATTATGTAAAATGGGAGATTTAAAGTGGTCTACTCTGATTGTAGGAATTAAGGCAAGGACAAGAAGCTCAAAAAGAAAGTCAATCAACACTGATCGATCTCTCAAGTATGCAAAAATAAGAATGAAGGACTAAAGCAATGGAAAACACAATATAGTGGGAGACAACTGGAAGTGCTGTCTAAAACATGAAGCACTCCTTAAATAAATCAATCTACCCCACCAAATGGAGACAAAATGAAGTGGTGCTTGTTGTCTCTTTCTTTGATACAACATAAAGCACTCATTGAATAAATTAATCTACTCCACCAAATGGAGACAAATTGAAGTGGTGCTCATTTCTTAAGTAAAGCGTGGAGCATCTCGGCAAATATGGAGCATCTCGGCATGGAACAAGAGCACTCCTTGGATTAATTAATCTAGCCCATCATTCTTGAAGGAATTAGAGACACCTTTCTGAAATCAAATATCAGTAACATACTGTCGGCATCAAAAGACCAATATACAACAATAATCGGCTATAAGAATACTGGAAAACTCAAGGATTGATTCACGCAGCCTTCTACATAATTGTCTATCCAACTACAAGTTTTTTGTTCTACTCTTAACAAGCATTGAAATTTACTTTTAGTAGATTTACTATGTACACAAAAGAGTGAAGAGAGACTGAAAAATATTGGAGAGGCAGTGTGTCCTTAGAGGTTGGGTCATTATTCGTTTCTTTGGTGAGCGAGTGAAATTCAAAGAGTCATTGTTGGTGAGCGTGTTAAAACCAACCTTGTAAACGTTGAAAATCACACAAGTTGTACACAACTCATATCACAAAGAGATCAAGAGATAACATCCTTGCAACCCAAGGAGATTGGAGTAGGATACCACATTGGTTCCGAACCAGTATAAAATTCCTGGTATCATTTACCTTACTACTTTCATATGTTATTACAAGCAATTACTGTTTGTTAAGATTAATATTTGATTGAATTAAAGTACTAACAGTATTGTGCAGTCTGTCTCTGCACCAGTCGACTAAGAGCATACCATAGTCGACTAGAATTTTTTAATAGGCTACAATTCACCCCCTTGTACTTTCGGAAAGAAGTAGATTAGGAACTCATAGTCATGGTCATCAAAGAGGAAAAACAAATAGGGGTAAAGTGAAATTGGGTGCAAAAAGCAAATGGGTGTTTGAAGTTGATGAAAAGAGTGGTGAAGAACATATATATAGGACGAGAAAATGATTGGGAGTTAAAGTTTTTAAGTGAAGAAAAGAGAGGTCTGACAACACCCTTAAGATAAATTTATCGATCAATTGTTGTCAAGTGTTGGACAAGGTGGGTTGCTCTGATGGTAAGCGCCCTCCACTTCCAACCAAGAGGTTGTGAGTTTGAGTCGCCCCAAGAGCAAGGTAGGAGTTCTTGGAGGGAAGGATGCCGAGGGTCTATTGAAAACAACCTCTCTATCCCAGGGTAGAGGTAAGGTCTGCGTACACACTACCCTCCCCATACCCCACTAGTGGGATTATACTGGGTGATGGTTGTTATTGTTGTTGTTGTTGTTGTCGTCGTCAAGTGTGTGTATACAAATAGAGAGCTAATTTTTTCTTTTCTTGTTAGTTGTTTTAGGTTTCATTAACCTCCCTCCCTATCCTTTTTCTTTTTTCCCTCTTCAAATGCATATTGGCTCAGAAATGGGAAGAGAAGGAAAATAAGGGGAGGGGCTTTTCTTGGTTGAATAAAGAATCTATATAAATAAAATAAAAGAAAAAATTGATCAGTGTTTGATTGCACTTTTGAAAACGGATTAACTATAGCTATAATATACAACCGTGGAACCATGATTTCAATCTTATGGTATGAATTTTAGAATGACGACTTTAAATGTTGATGAATGTATTTTAAATTAATAATTGTACATATTTAATAAATTTTAAACACGAAATACACTGTTTAAGCAAAAGCTACTGGGTTCAGTCGAATCGGTAGCTCGGCTTGTGCCTCCGCCATATACTTTCAAAAATCGAAGACAATGAACTAAGGCCAAATTTCTGTGAATGGATTCCTCTTTATGTTAAGATGCTTAAATTTTTAGTATAAATTTATTACTTTTGACACAGGAGGAGTAAAAAGAATAATGCACTCTGAAGTAAAAGGGGAAGAAATTCTGAACCTCACAAGGATGGAATAATATCTACAAAGATCACAAAACTGATTTATCAGACAAAAAATTGATTACCTTAAATTTGTGGATACCTAATTTTTGCACCCCTTTTATCTCCTAAAAAGAGAAGATAATTTTAGAACAATCTTAACTTCGTTGTAATTGATTTTCTCATACTTGTGTGCATTTTTGTTTGCATTTTATTTCATAAAAATATCAAAAAATATTTCTTTTATCTTTTATTTGAGCATTCTAGTTTGCATCTTTAAGTTGTATATACCAAGAAGATTTTCTTTTTAGTTTTGCATTTGTTAGAGTTATGAGAATTGGGCCAATTGAATTTTTATTGACAATGGGCCAAAAATCGGACCAAACCAGTGGCCCAATTGCTTCCAACCCGCCCAGCCATCAGGCCCCAACTAGACGTGCCAAAAATGGCGCTGTTTGGTTAAGTGGCTGAGATTCAATCTCAGCCACCCATTTTGGTCCAATCCTATGTCTAGAAATCAATCCTCCACTCCGGTATTTAAGCCCCCAAAACCCTGCAATTTTACCCCCATTTCCCCTTTTACTCTCCCTTTCTCCTCTCTCCTCACTCTTTGAGCCGCCGCCGCTCCGCCATCCCTCAGCCACTGCCACCACCGTGAGCCGCTGCCGGTGTTGGTACAAACCACCCTATATTTTTACCACTTCTTCCTCTCAACCTCCTCTCCATGAATCCAAGCCTCATATCCTCCAAATCTCCATAGATCTACCCAAATCCGAAGCCCTAGCCTTCTTCTATTTTTGAGTTTCATCAAGGTTGAACCATCTTTACCCTACGATACAAGCATAAACGGGTAGGTCTCTTTGAGGTCTACCCTTTACCCTTAGTTTCATCCTGAAAGTCCATCCACTACCGTCGGACTCCGGCGACCACCACTACCGTCCCACCACCTTCACTACCAGATGACCCGACTGTCCGAAGCCATCTTCTAGACCTAGGCACGTTTTTCTTCAAGATAAAAATGCTAGTTTCAATGGCCGCCTGCCAAGGAAATTACAGTGGCATTTTATCTCAAAGAAAAATGTGCTCGAGTCGGCTGCCTCGTTGCAGAACCGAGCTTATGGTATTCCCTATTCCCTTTTCCTTTTTTTTAAAAAAATTATTTTTTATCTTATCTTCTGTTCTTGCTTTGTATTTTAGTTTTAGCGTAGAATTGAAGTGGTGTCTCGTTTTCTTTTGGTTTGGTTCTTATTCGTTTATGATTTTTGCTTTTAGTTTAATCGTGTGTTAATTTGTTCAAACAACGTAATCTAGCTTTAATTGTATCATTTATTGTACTTTCCGCTCACCTCTGTTAGCTTGCAACTAGTAGCGTAGTTTGATTATATGCTTGATCGTGATAAATCAATTCGAACTAGTTGATGTAATTAGCACTTGTTTCTCTTAAGTTAGCTATTTAGTATAGTTCGTTGACTGATTTAGTTAAGTATTTTGCAAATCATGTTAGTCTTTTTGTGGCTCTTATATGTTCAAATTGGTAAAGTATAGTCTTTTAGTTGTTTGGCTATATGATTTTGAATTGAGCAGAAAGAATGAGGGAAGGGTGATAGAGGATTAATCAGTTAGGTACATAGTAGTTTCTTTCTACTATTTCAATCATGCTAAGAGTACAACTACTCCTTTTGTGTCTGAATTTAGTGTAAAAGATTGTCCTTTCTCCTATTTGGACAGTCCTTGGACAGTTTTTTGGTGAAAAGTAAGTCTTTTGGATAGATTTTTGCTCAACCAAAATCTGTCCAAAGGTGCTTGTTTTTCCTACTTAAAGGGGTCTCCTCTCACTCAATTAGACACTCTCCATCACACTGGAAGACATTCTACACTTAGACATCTCACACTCTAAGCAAAAACACAACTTAGAAGAGAGAAAAAGATCAGTTGAACATAAGAAAACTAAGCTGAAATTTGAGGGCTTTTGAGTGAGTATTCGGAGAACAACAACTGTCCAAAAGAAAGGTTCTTAAGTCAGTTCACTAGTTCTTTCCTTGCTTATTTTGCTGAAATTTCTGGGTTAAGTTTTGGATCATAAGCTGCTGGTCAGTTACTGTTTGTAGGCCTTTTACACAGTTCATTTTGCTGACCTTCAGTTCTTATTGCTGTATTTGCGATTTTCTACAATATAGGTAACTCTTAAAAACTTGTAATGCAGATTTTGTTTAGCAATAACTGAAGATTTGAATCTGTTTAGATTGCTGGGATGCACTTGATTTCATTTTATGAGTTTGTTTAAGTGCTTTAACGTTTTTATGTATGGCTCAAGTATGTGAATATGTAACTGATAGCTTGAAGTTTTTATTCTTCCTTAAATGTTAGTCGAAGCACTCTGTTAATCTCGTTTAGTCACGGAAAAGATCATATACTAGCCATTATTGCTTTGACATGATTTCTTTGTCTAATTCTCGAAAGAGGAGGTGTTTATAAGCATGTACTACTGTTAGGTGTTTCTGGGAGGCTCATGCCATCACTGTTCGGATACTAGAGCTAAACGAAAATTGACCAATGTTCAAGTTAAATTAGTTAGAGTAAGCACGATATAAAAAGAGGTGTTTGAAGGTTAATAGATTTTAGCATAGTTCATTAAGTTCGACTTTTGAGTGTTGGAGTGAACTAATTAGTCAAGTCTATAATCTTAGTAAGTGAATATGCATTTTCTCTTTTAGCAGATGAGTTGGGTGGTTTAGTTTGGGGAGTAACAATTTGTTAAGTAAAAGGAGATCTATCCATGTATTTTAATTTATTAGCCTAAAATTAATATTATTGTGTTTTGCTCGGTGCTAGTTTTTTTTTTAAAGTTTTCTTTAGTTTTGTAGTAAGTATTACTTATCCATTTAAAAGGTAGAGATATGGATCATTTGTTTTTTTTTTAAAGGAAACTATCAATTATGTCCATTTATAAGTAGCTAATTACAACAATTGGCCGATTCATTAAATATTACTAATATTACCAATATTAGCCAATTAGCTATTTGTAACAAAAGAAGGTTAAAGTTTTGCTTTCTTTTGAATGGATTGAGTACATCTTAAGAAAGTTTGAATCTCAATTTTGGGATGATTTGGCGGAGTTTTGAGGTAGTTTGAATTGAAAATGCGAAGTAGAAGATGAAACATGAATTTTTTTTTGTGTATTATATTGTTTATCATTTGTGTATCACATATATATCATATTTGCATCAAATGTTTATCACACGTATATCCATGTATACCTGTGTGTGTGATACATGTGTCGCAAAAGATTTTTTAAATTCGATTTTAACTACAAATTTTGATACCAAATAATCCAAATCACCTCTAATCTTCCTCAATATTTGTATAATGACTCGTCTATATGTTTTCAATGAATTTCAACCATACCCATTGAAAAATGTCATTTTTTGTTTAGTTTTTTTTGAATCTTGTATAAATATATTTTTGTATTTCATCCCCTTGTTTGCTACCTCATCCATGAATTCTTATTCATCTTGCATCTAATATTGCTGATCACGCTTAAAAATATGGAAGGAGATCTTTTGCGTACGATTTTTGGAGAGAAAGAACCTTATTAATTTGGGTTTGCTGTTTTTATGTGTTTGGCTAGTTTAGGTAAGTATATGATTAATGGCTAGATGTTGATAAGTTGAAATTTATTTGAGACATTTATGTAAGATTCCCTTTTTTAAAGAACAATTAACTAGACTAGCAGCCCACTTAGGATATAAACTTTTAATAGCCTCATTTTATTTTTATTACTCGATTTAAACAATTACCACCCCTACTTTTACTTTTTTTTTATCCGATCCCCACTTTCCCCCAAAAAAAACTAGCGCTCACCCCCACCCCCCTCCTTGCTCTGCATCGCCTCCCTCGTTCTTCAAAAAAGTGATGGCTTCTCTTTATTTTTTTTTCTTTCTCTTTCGCCTCTATTTCCCTTTCTCCCATTCACCCATTTCTTCTTTTCTTTTTTCTCGGCCTCAAACCCAATTGCTCTTTCTCTATCTACTGTCAACTGGTTTGCAACTGGATTTTTTTCTTTTTTCTCGATGGTGAGTGCTGAAAATATGCGTTACTACTATTTATGAATTATTACAGCGGATGCATTTTTTTTTTTATTGAAGTAGTGTCGTGTACAGGTGGAGGCTATGGGTCTTATTTTTTTTTTTNCTTTCTCTATCTACTGTCAACTGGTTTTCTAGGTGGTGTAACTGGATTTTTTTCTTTTTTCTCGGTGGTGACTGCTGAAAATATGCGTTACTCCTATTTATGAATTATTACAGCGGATGCATTTTTTTATTGAAGTAGTGTCGTGTACAGGTGGAGGCTATGGGTCTTTTTTTTTTGCATATTAAGCGTATAATTTGGTATAATAAGTGTATAAAATATATATTGATTATCCACGGCTTATGCAGTAATTATACATCAATTCTACACTGCATACTAAGTGTATAATGTGTATAAGCTAGTGTATAATGGATTCAGATTATGATAGATATTGAAGTTTGAGAGAGACTCTAAATCCAATTATTTCTCGTGGGTTTTCAAATTTCATGGTATTTTTGTACGTCATTCTACCCATTTCACCAATGGCAAAGTGATTTTTGTGCTAGAAACACTTGTTTTGTGCGAAAGCCTTATGGAGTGGTGGTGGTTTCTGAAGAATCCTTAAATAACAGAGAATTTTGGGTAGAGTGTTTTGATTGAATTTAAGGTTAAATCAGTAACTATGAGAGATAATAGCTTTGTGGCATTGGCAAGAGTTTTTATTTTGAAATTTGGTTGGTTAATTTTTTTTTTTTTAATTTGGATTTGCTAACGGCAGTTGGAAATATTTACGGCTATTTATAGTGAATCAAAATTTATGGCTAGACGGGTGTAACCAAAAGTATTTGGGCGGCTAATTGTGTTTTTCCCCCTTTTTTAAAGCTAAATCAGACGTGGGCCTCAAAGTATTTGGTTTGTGTTACTAGAATTCAAAAATTGAGAAGAGAGTTGGGCCAATTAAATCTCAGCAGTCTGTTGGCTAATAAAGCCCATATCATGTAAAACTGATTGAGTATTTCAATTGGCCCATTTTTAAGGGAACCATTAGCTGGCCCAAATGATTAACAATCAGGTTTCTTTCAATATCCAATAAAAGTGATCTTTTAATCTTTTTTTGATAACTTATTTATTTTAATTGAACGCTAGGCGCGCTTTAATTCTGGGACTCACTTGAGTCAGGGAGATGTTTTACATTCAATAATCGCATCTCATATCCTATAGCTTTAATTAATTTCTAACTTAATTAATCTCTTGCGAAATTGCGTATTCGCTTGCGTGACTTTTTAATAAATTCTAAAGTTAATTTCCTCAAATGTAATTCTTACAAAAGTAATAATGTGATAATAATCCATTGTCAGCCGTAATTCGCTTGTAAGCGATGATCGAAACAAAACGTGAAAAAAATAATAAATTTTGTTTCGATCATTGCTTGCGTATGGTTATGAGATTTGATTATTTAAAATGTTTTTTTATATTTCTAATAATCAAGAATTAAAACCGGCTAGGTAAAACATGAAAATCAATAAAATAAAGCTTTATCCAAATTAATTCATGTTAATTTTAATCAATGAAAGCGATCGTGCTAGAACCCTGAGATTTTTTTTCGGTCAACAGAATTTCTTACTCTAACTTTATTTTCGAGACCAATAATAAAAAGAGTCAAATCTTTCTTTGAATGAGGTGACTTGGAATACAAAAAAAAAACGAAAAATTAAATTTCATGTGACGACTCTGAACAATAAAACAATTCCTATTTTAAATTGTCATTTAAATGAAAAAAATTCTTTAACCCACAACAATCAATAACACATAATTTTTAGGGTAAAAAAGAGAGTGACAATACTCGGGGCGGAGATAGAAACTCATAAAAGGGATTAAAATATATTAGGAATTACATCTAGGATTTAAATGTGATCTTAAATAGTTTAAACCAACTTTACTCTGAAACTATAATTTTCTCTTATCTCGTTGGGATTCAATAGTTCAAAATCAATTTTTTTTTATTTTTTTATTATATGCATTATATATAATTTTCCGGCGGAAGAGATTCAATTGAACTCGTTGCCTCCCTTTAGCCTCGCCCTGACTTATACTAACAAGCAACCACTGGTTAATATGATTGATGGCGTGCCACATCATCATGTCCGCCATGTTATCTATGTTCACGTTGTGTACAGTCATGTTATGTTCTTCCATGTGGATTTCTCAAATAAATATCTAACACAAAAATTCTTTTCTATTATGACAACGTCTATCTGATGTTTTTATTACTGAATTTAATACCTCCCTTTTATTTAGCAAGGTGCTTAAAGAATAATATGATGCATTCACACCGCTTTCAGTGGCTCATTTTGTTGTGGTGTAAACTCAAATCGAACAAATTGAAGCAAAAAGAGAGAAGTATGAAATTTAATTAGGTATAGTTTTGGTATAATAATTTAAGAAATTGAAAGTACCAAATTCAAAGTTTTAAAAATTGCACCCAATTGACCAATTAAACACCCCTTAGAAAATGATGGCTTTGCATTTTAAACGTGTTAATTAATTTGCCATTCTCGGCTAATAATACTATGCACTACCAAGCTAGGAGCAGTATTTTAAAAGACATTTTTTGGGTGAGCCCGGAGGAGAACTTTGGGCGAGGCGTATCAAAAATGCACTGAAGCGTGCTGATGGGACGTAAGTACCATGGGCGTACGCCCCAATCTTCTCGGCGTTCGCCTAGGCGTAGACTTCAATGTTCTGGGTGTTCATTTGGAGCGTAAGAAATTTGAGCTAAAATTACGTAAGAAATCCTTTTTTAAAACTTAAATATCTAAACCTTAACTCATAGTAAATTCTCAAACTAAAACTCTCAAAAGTCAATAGTTTTTGAATTTTTTACCCTAATTTCACAGTCTTTTATCTTTGTCATTTACTTAGTAACAAATACACTTTAGACCTTTGTTTGTAAAATGCAAAGCACAAAATAGGTTTTGTCCTCTAATTCTTACTTTGCTTCCATGTTTGCATTTTCCTTCTTTATGCATAATTTCTGATAGAAACTAAGAGTCCACCAAACAGTATAGAGAGCTAGGTTCTCTATTTGTTCTAACAGTAAATAGACAAAAAGTAAAGGACACACGATATTTACGTGAAAAACTCCTTGATCAAGGGATTAAAAACTACGACCTACCCTAGTAGGATTTCAGCTCCACTAAACTGAGCAAACTTCATATTACAACCCATTGCAATCTAAGAATTAAATTTTTAATCCTTCACCTCTTACAATAACTCTATTGCAAGCTCTTTGTAACAACTCTATTACAAAGCAACACACTTTGACTAACTTTAGTCAACACAGCCAAAACAATAATGGTTGAATATTGTCCTCCAAAAGTACTTCTCGAAAGCCGTGTAGGAATACAAGTAAAGAATAAAAGACAAAGAAACAACAAACTTAAGGACTTAAGACATCTTCAGTGTTGGGATCTGGTCCTTGTGTTTGTAGCAACTTTGTTCTTGAATGCACCTGGAGAACAGTGACGGCTAGCACTTGAGAAAATGTGTTTTTCAGATTTGCAAGTGTTAGGTCAAACCTTGTATCATGTTCTATATATATAAGAGAGAATGTGAAAATAGATAGAGACATTACATATTTTGTTTGGGCCTCTAGAAGCAGTGGCTGTGTCACTGCACTACTGTCAGTCTGTATAGTGAGACAATTTTTACAACTGTAGGGTTGACTGTATGACGGCTGGGGAACTGATCACATC